GGGGGTCATATGATTGTTGGGTTTTTCTCTGTATCTATGAAGCGCCTTGAGGCGACTTTTGTTGTGATTTGGCGCTATATAAATAAAATAAAATTGAATTGAATTGAATTAAAAACAAGTAGAAAGGCTGAGTTGTTAGACCACATACTACATGGGTGCTAACACTATGAGCAATGAGTCCTAAGTTTCATTATGCTGGCTGCAGGTCTCTGTCCTCTTTGCTAAAAAAAAAGAAACAAAACAAAAACAAAAAAACAATGACACTGACCCAGGTAAGGTAGTTTCTGCTGAATATTTCCAATCTGTATGCCAAGCTAACTAAACTGTTAGCTAGCTCAAACGTCATACTGGTTCAGCATGAAGGTAAAAAAAGTAGATTTCCCAAAATGCCAAACTATTCTTCTAACAGCACTTTAGAGGCAAAAATGATTCTGAGTGAGAATGCGGTAAGTCTGGTAAAATTCAGTAATGTTCATATACCCACCCGATGAATGATCCCTGCAGAGTGAATGTACTGTGAAGAAAGAGAAGAAACTGTTTACACCCACAGTATAACACAGCATGTGTCATGTTTAATATAGCAGGCAGTTGCACAGGTTTACTACTCTGTAAACAAAGCCTCCACCCGCACCAGCAAACCCAGTTGCTGTGATGTCACAGAAGCACTGATAACAAGAAGAAAACATCTTGCGATCAAAGATTCTGGCAGTTAAATTCAAAGACACAAAGCTGGCATTGTTTCCCACTTTGAAACCAGAATTCCATACAGTATATCCTGGTTACACATTGACGAGCATTACATGAGAAGCATATGTAAAGCTAACTCAGTCTAGCATCCATTAACCGAACAGGCTGGGTGTGCTCTGAGTATTTAAAATAAACACAGTTTACATTTAAATAATATAGACTGAATTTAGAACAACTTAGTAAGTCCAGAGAACTGATTCCCCAATCTTAATTTGCAAGATTTATTTCAGTTTGTGTCGCAAAGAATAAAGATTTAACAAAGGTTTAACAAATATGCCAGACACCATATTTATATACAGTCCTCCATTTTCAGTGGTGATTGGAAAGTTTTCTGACAAGTAGTTCATGGCCAGGTGAGGCCGATTAAGCAGATAAAAGGTCTGGATTTGATTTGGTAGCTGTTCACTGGACTTAGGCTGAACACAGTAAACCTGTCAGAGAAACATTGAAAAACAACAATCTGGTTCATTCTTAAAACGTAGGAAACCACTCAGCTCAGTGACAGCAAAAGGCCCGAGAGGACGATGACAACCACGGTCTGAAGACGTAGAGACTGGTCATGTTTCTCAGTAAATATCTGAGAATACAGACTTGAGCGAATACATTCATTTCGTCATGTTAGGAAGCTGTCTTTCGTTTTCACTCTGCATGTTTCACCTTGTGCTGCTGCTGCAGTCTTTTATTACCTTAAAGCATTCAGTTCAGACTTGTTACTTGCTGACTGCGGCACAGTGGTGCAGCGGTTAGCACTATCGCCTCACAACAAGAAGATTCATGCTTTAAACTGGAGCTTACACATCCTCTCTGTGCTTGTGCGAATTTCCTGCAGGGACTCTGGGTTAATCCGACAGATCTCAGGCATGCATGCTGGTCTAATTAGCAATTCTAAATTGGCCGTGGATCTGAGGCAGATAGAGTGTTTGAAGTGTTTAGCCTAAAACACTTTGACTGGAAAGAAGTACTAGAAAAGCAGTATATAAATGTCAGTCTATTCTATTCCATATACTCTAAGATCCAGCAATTAATTCTTGTCCTCTGTGAGCGACATGAGTCTGAAACCTCTCCATCGACCAAAAATTATGCAACGTATCAGAGTCCAACTGTAGTGTCAAGAGGACATCCTGGTTTTCCTTTTGATGCCACATTTTAGGGGGTTGGTGTAACAGAGCACGTCGACTTTCGTTTAAAAATCATGAGCATTGCAGCTTCCACATTTCATGGCTACAAGGAAGGTTAGCTGATGGTTTCTTCAACCTTAGGTTCTTATCTTCAGTAGTATTTCAGCTTGTACAGTAATTTTAACTCTTTCAAAACAAAACTTTTATACAATGTCTCTTATAGTGGACAGCAGAACTTACTAACTCCTATTTGTGAGTGAGACAGATGTATAGCCGTCTGGGGATGATGTTGAGGAGGGCCAGAGCAAGAAGGTGAAAGCTCAAAGGACAAACCAGCTTTCAGGGAGACTGAGCAGGGATAAAGTGACTGCACCCAGCGCCCATTGTGGATGAGAAGCAATTTGTGAGCAGGGACAAGAAAACAGAACAACACTAGCAACAACCACAATGACCGCAGGCAGTCTGATTACATCAGGCAGTAGTTATGCAACCACGTTGCCTGGTTAATTAAATAATAATAATAATAATAATAATAATAATAATAATAATAATAATAATAATAATAATAATAGTTCTTCAAGATTTGGCAGTCGATCAAAGTGACCAATCGTCTTAACGTCCTTGATAAGGGTAAAAAGAATAATGTCTGCAGGGGAGTCAAACTTACTGCTGTCAGGTGAAGTTATGGAGGAGTAGCAGGGTGTAAGCTGTACCTCTCCTTTCTTTATCAATTCAATGTTAAACCTACTATAATTGAGTTTTTAACATGAAAACAGAACAACACTGCTTGCAACTAGCAAAACACTAATTAGACAATCTGGCTTTTAAAAAGTCACAGCATACAAACCACAGGGAGGCGCTCATCTCTGAAAGCACATATGTTCACATCTATGGCATGACTTGGATCCAGATATACTGGGTCCTAGTTATAGACAGTACAATAAGTTGAGTCAGATTCTTCAAGATTACCCATATGGAAAAGAAATAGTAAAAACTTATAAAAGACTTGCATAAGATGTGGCCTACTTCATATAGTGAATCATATAAGGCTTATATGATTTACTCATGAAAGTGGCCACTTTCTCATTACTTTCATATATTGTTTTAGGAAGTATCCAAAACATACAAGTTTCATTTATATAATTTTTCAAAGGATCTTATATCTGTTTTCACTCTTGTATGCTTTTCATACAGGTTTCACACAAGACAGATACAAACTTAATAAGATTTGTATATATCTTTTCCATAGGCAAATAGCCATTTTCAACCTGCCGTCATGATTTTACTAAGAATTGACGTCAGCATGGAAAGAAGTGCACCTCAAAAAGGAGCACCTCACATCTCACCTTTCCACAAGGGTTACACAACACTGGCACTGTCACTGCTTTCATCCCTCGCTGCTTAACTGAGAGCGAGATGACGCTCCAGCAAACACTTTCAGCTCAATGTATCACACTTAAACAGCCTCCCCACTGAGAAAATGTTATAGTCTTCATTAAGCCACTGATAATAATCAAGGAAGCACTCACCTTCAAGCCTCTTAGAAGCTGGTAGAACAGGTATGTGACGATGCGATCGCTTAATCTCTTGGTCTTCATAATGTGGCCCAGATCCTGGGCTACGAAGGGCATTACCATATAACTAGAGGGAAAAGAACAAGAGTGAGAGGCCAGCAGCGGTTTACAAACAGACAAACACACAGACAATGTAAACCAGCATGTGGGGGGTGTGGCACATTTACCACTGTGTCGCGCCCCCGCTTCCTGAAACAAAAGTGTTTAGAAATGTGGAAACTGAAATGAACAGCAGTGACTTTGCAAAGTGAAATGTTTTTAAATTTTCCTGGCACTGTTTGCTGTGATGGGTTTTAGTCTCATAATTTTTTTTAGTTTCAGTTCATGCTTGGATGTTACTGCCTTCGTCCCGTCTCTGAGTGAGTGTCTTTGTCCCCCTGTGTATGCTGTATAGTCATAGCCTTCATGTCTCAGTGTTTGCTGTGTTGTGGTTATTCCCTGTCTGTGGCGGGGCACAGTCCGCAGTGCCGCTGCAGGGAGATGGATGCACCTCGCCGGCAAAAAAGGCTGTGCTATCTGTCAGAATGATGTTGTTGTTGTGGTGTATGTGTCAGCTGTGAGCTGTGGAGCTGTAGCCGAGTGTGTGAACAGCAACCAGAAGGAAAAAAATGTGTGAAATGCTCAAAAGCATGAAAGTGTGGTCATCGGGTCTGTTGTGGTATTGCTACACTGTCACTCTTAGCAGGTTTTCTCTTGTCTGTTCATCAGACAGACAGACAGCAGTCAGTAAACAGGTGCTGTCAGTTAAATGTAGTGAGATTTGGAACAGTACTGCAGCTGTAACTCATGTGTGTATGTTATATGTTTTTATTTATCTGTTGTTTTGCATTTCATTGTATTATTTTGTGTATTTTTTGTCAGGACTACATTGTTGTACATTGTCTTATGGTTTGCTCAAATTTTTATTTATTGTTTTTGAGATGAAAGGTAGCCTCCTGGCTAAGTCTGGCATATTTACATTGATACATGTTCAATAATACGCAAAGTTTTTAAGCAGAGGTTTGCTCTCTGTTCATTGTCCTGCATTCATTATCTTCACCTGTCGTTAACTGCTTTCAGCTGCGTCTTCTCTTTTGCATCAACTTTGGCCATTGGCTGCTTTTTCACATATTTTCAGTCCAGTCCTTATAAGTGACTGAACTGAAAATGAGCACAAAAGCAGAGGAATGCTTTTTTGTTCGTTAAGTCACCTATGAGCCATTCAGGCATTAAAAAAAGTCACCTATCTCAAACCAGGATGAATTAGTATTGTGTCTACACATAACAGACAACTGAGCAAAGAACTCATTTTAAATTGTTATAGGAACTAGCAGCCTTATATGCTCTAATGTTTTAGTTGAGCTAAGTTGGCTTACACAGTTTAACAGGCATAAAATAGTATTTCTGCACTCACATTCCCAAAGAGCCTTTAGCTGAAATCCTGACATGACGTGCAGTAAGCCCTTAAAGTTTTGAGGAAACTGAACAAGTGGGGACAAAGGACAAAGTATCTGAAAGCGATGTTGTAGGAAAAAAAAACACCAGCAAAGACCTGACACAGTACCTAAGAGATGGTGTTGTTTAAATTGTTGGACTAGAGCACTGTGAGGGATCATTTTGACAGAGAGCTGAACGAAAGGCAGCCAATGTACAAAGAAGAGCTTTGAATGCCCTTCAAGAAGCCTGGAGAACTATTCCTGAAGACGACTAAAAGAAAGCTTATCTAAGAGAGGTCAGGCTGTAAATGCTGAGTTATTTTCATGTCTGTTGATTAATAGGCCCATGCTCTGATTTCCTCTACACAGCTGTGCCTGCTTTAAATCTGCTTCTGTCTGAGAGCCTGAAGATCCTGGCCATTTAATATTATTTTTCCAGTCCCATCCTTGCATACTGAGAAGTACCCACACTCTCTGAATGATATTATGTACTGTAGATGATGAAACACACAAATTGGTAGCAAAATACACTGAGGGACATTTTCTTAAACTGTTGAAGTTGCGTCTTACACAGTTTGTCACGATGGTGAAGCCCTTTCCAATCTTTACTCCTGACAGACTTGCACTCTTTGGGATTTTTTTTAACACAGTTGTGTTACTGACCTGTTGCCATGACAGTGTCAGATGTTTTACCCAGCATGTTTTTAACTTTATAGATACATACTTTGCTGAAATGTGTTGCTGAAGTCAAAATCAGGTAATTCTTTCTTTTTACATGCATCAGGTCCCAATCAGCCCAAATAGCAAAGAGAAATTAAAGATGCATGTCATGTAAGAGTTCGGGTCTTAGGAGGTTAATAATCAAAATTACTTACTTTTAGCATCTGATATATTGTGTTTGTATTTTTTTGGGTTTAAAACACAGGGTTTGTAAGTCACTGCATTCTGTTTTTGTTCAAATTAACAGAGCTGAATAGTGCATTTGAAGCTTTTTACATGTGGAGACACAGTTGGACAACTGCTAAAAAGACAGCCAAAACAAACAAGAATCAGCTTGCCCTCACACTAGCTTTTTTGAACTTTTCACACATCCATCCACACACACGTACATGCACGCGCACACATGCATGCGGGGTCTCAACAAGTTGCAACAACTAGTGGGAGAATGCTACCCCTGACTTTCAACTTACAATGTTTGGAATTTCTCCAGTGTGGGGTCAGGTGTGAAGACATTAAGAAGGCAGATCACCTTTAAGGAAAAACACAGTGAGGAAATTAGTAAAACACCAATAGCTCACGAACAGACTTACAGTGTATGAAACACTTCAGGAGCTCTATATTTATCAGGGGGTCACATACAGTTCAGTGTTGGTAGTAGGATAGGAGGTAAAAGCTACTAGTTCTGGGTTCTGGGATTTTGTGACTTTGTGACTCCTGTTTTCAAAGCTGTAAATAAAAGTAACATCTTTGTTACAGTGAGTCATTGAACATCAAAGGGATCCAACTTTGAACATCTTTGCACTATCTAAAAATAAAGTGTGATGGTTAGAAATTGTTTAAAAAAAGAAGAAGCTTGAATTAAAAACAACAACAACAAGTGATTCACATTTTTAAACATGTTTCCACATGTCAATGGAAGCAAAGCTGAAACTCATTTAAATGTTTTTCCAAGGAAAATGCTAAGCGATGAGGGTTCCACCAATACACAACAGTCTCAGATCATCAAGGCCCACTGATGAGATTATGGGGCTTTTGTTGAAGAGTCAACAAAGTGTGCTTATCCTCAAAATTGACCTTTTTTTCCAGACAGGAGAAAAAAGAGCAAAGGTTATAATTAACTCATGTGTATCTTTCCCAACAGAGTCACTTTGACAGCACTAATTTGATATACTAGAGTTCTTCTAATGCCATTCAAATTACAAATTTACAGCTTAGAAAAATGACATATTCAGATGTTTCTGTCATGCTAGAGTCTGACCTTGCTGTCTGAGTAAGGATTAAGCATAAGCACCTACTGTATGACAGGGATTATAATGCTTAATGTTAATAAATCATCTTATTTTCATTGACTTTTCTTACATTGTCATGCTGTATGTGGCGGAGCAGCCTGAGCTCTCTGTAGGCCCGCGTGGCGTGGATGAGGGACTGAAAAGGCCGGTAGAGCTTCTTGATGGCCACCTTCTCCTTGGTCTTCTGGTCGATGGCAGAGCTAAATGGGACCAACCACAGACTCAGTGATTGAAAACACAGTGGCCATTGTAATCTAGCACTGCTATTAATCTGTACTAATTTCGGTGCTGAATATTCTAATCTAATCTAAAAAAATCAGTGAGCTGATAAAGTCATTGAACTAATAGAGTCATACATTGACACAACAACAAATACAATACATATATATCACATGGCTGACCAATCCATTCATTAACTAAACACTGATAAGTATTGCTGCTGTTTGGAAATGTGCTCTGAATGAGCCATGAAAATTTCCCAAACATAGAGATGAATGTTTGGTCCATATGTTGCTCATATTTGCAGTTTCCTATGCAGGACATCTGGTTTTGACTGACTGCGGTTGCCTCAAATCCACTGCAGGTCTGCCTTATGTATGCCAGCGGTAGGGTGTGCTGGGATATTTGGGCCACATGTGGTCCAAATAACACTTACCAGCGCTGTACTGCACTGTAAATGCCTAAAAAATAACCCAGAATAGGTCCAACCCTAACATAACTATCTTGTTTCATAATGTTACTTTATGTTACATTACATTATGTTATTTTAAATTATGTTATCTTACATCAGGTCATGTTACGTAATGCAACATTACATTGTTACGATGCATTGCATTAGCTTACATTATGTTATGTTGCCTTTGATTATGTGACCTATTTATCTGTAAAGCCAGAAATGCAGCGTTCGAAAAGTATTCACGTATTCTGCAACACTAACGAAAATCTTTATGATAATATCAGTAATACGATTCTGTCTGTCAGTAGCTTATCATTAGGCAGAGCCACGTCTGGGATATCCTGGATTCCTGCAGGCTGGGTTCTGCTGTGTTAGTGGAGAGATTCTTGTCATATCAGAGAACCTGCATTGACTTGCTGAGTGGCCTCAGGCGGACAATTGTGTTTCTGTTAACAGAAACAGATGAAAGCCAACTAGACCCATTCAGGGAGCGAAATGAATTTCCAAGAAATTCAGAAACCTTAGTGAAAAACATTTCAAGACGATCATTTAAATATATTCAGACTAAGCAGAGAGAAATGAAGCCACACTAAGCCGTTTTTAAAACGCAACATTACCTAATGGAAAATCATTATATTACCACACACTTTAACATGTTTACCAGTTTTCCAAATCCTTTATGATTGTTGAAGTTGGGTCTTTTTGTTATTTTTGTTGTTGTTGTTTTTACATTTTGTGTTTAAAACGCCACAATAAATACTTCCCTAGAGGGGATGAATTCGTTGTTGGTACTAAACCACGTCAAATAATAGTTTAATATGTTTAGCCTTTTATGGCAGTTTTAAACTTAATCGTAGGCCACCAAAGGACCACCAAAAAAACACAACAAAAACAACTTTATAGTTTTCTGTACACAGTAGGGAAAGGAGCGATACAAATTATGTCTGCACTGTCGCCATCGCCCAGGTAAACTCACCACACTGTCCCGTAAGCTCCGGAGCCGATGGCCTGCAGGTTCGCGTATCTATGCGGGACGTCCCACGTTGTTTTCTGGATCTCCATTCTGTGGAAACCCGGTCTCACCGGGGAATCCTTCACTGGAGACTCCATGGCGCTGGGTTTTTTTTGTTCTCCAATCGGGTTTTGACCAAGAAAGTTCTTTACAGCCTCGGTCTTGCAACCTGACAGGTGAGCTCTAGGGTAGGATCCGCATAGAGACACGCCCACGCGTCCTAGTAGCCTGCCCCCGGTCACGTGAGCAGCTGAATCGAGGGTTATCGGCTCGTGCCTGACCTGTAAAACCACATATACCTTTTCAGCCGAGCCAAAGCTGAATATTATTTTTCCAGTCCCATCTTTGCTTACTGAGAAGTACTCACACTCTCTGAATGATATTATGTACTGTAGATGATGAAACACACAAATTGATAGCAAAATACACTGAGGGACATTTTCTTAAACTGTTGAAGTTGCGTCTTACACAGTTTGTCACGATGGTGAAGCCCTTTCCAATCTTTACTCCTGACAGACTTGCACTCTTTGGGATTTTTTCAGCCAGCGCATATTGGGAATGGTACAGGCACCGATCGGTTTTCTATCGCCCATTTGCTGGGAGTAAGGGCGCCCTCCGTTTGCGAGGTGCGCCTGCTGCTTGCGGCACAGGGAGGAGAGGGCGGGGGAGCAGCATCTAATAACCAACTCGCAAAATAACACAAAAGAAAAACAAAACAACAAACACGAAAACACCAGAAATTATGAAACAGACTTATAATGTGCACCAGGCACGTGCAGAGGGGGGGCTAGAGGGGCTTGAGCACCCGCCCCTTTCCTGATGGGTGCCCAAAGTGCCCTTTTGTTGAGGCAACTTTTT